TGTGTGTGTGTGTGTGTGTGTGTGTGTGTGTGTGTGTGTGTGTGTATGTGAGTGTATGTGTGTGTATATATAAACATGTATATAAATGTAAACATATATATATATATATATAAACAATAGGGTGTATGTACATGTGTAAGTGTGTGTGCGTGTGGTGTAAAAAAGTGTGTGTGTGTGTAAAAAGTGTGTATGTGTATATGTATATGTGTGTGTGTGAAAAGTGTGTGTGAATATGTGTAATTGTGAAACTTGAGATATTAAACTACATAAGTTGAGATATTAAACCCTAAAAGTTGAGATATTCAATCTCATAAGTTGAATTAAAGATGCAATGAATTCATGTGGATTAGGGATGGCAATTTGACCCGCCCCGACGGATCCCCGCCCCGCCCCGCCCCGAAATTTTCGGGTATTACCCGCCCCGAAAAAAAATGGGGCGGGTATGGGGATTGAAATTTTTTTTTGACCGGATACGGGTACGGGGATGGGTTTGCCTATACCCGCCCCGTAGACCCGCCCCGTACCCGTCCCCGTACCCGTCCCGCATTATTTATATATATAATATATATTTTTTAATTATAATATTAAATATAAATAATTAAATAGTAGTAATACATTAAATATTAGTTAAAAATGAGGATTTTTAGGTTTCCATTATATAATTAAATATTAGTATTATAATTAAATATTGATTTATTTGTTGAAATAAACCTTTAAATTATAAGTAAATTGCATATTTATTTATTAAAAAAAGAGAAAAAAAATAGACGGGGATTTTTACCCGCCCCGATACCCGTGGGGAATTTATGGGGCGGGTATGGGGATTCTTTTAATACCCGTGGGGATTTTTGACGGGGATGGGGATGGGGATTTCTATAGCGGGGCGGGGATGAGGATTGCAAAACCCGCCCCATACCCGCCCCATTGCCATCCCTAATGTGGATCCAGTCCGGATCGGTCTAAACTCGATCCACATTAAATCTATTCATGTAGGTTGATATTGGATCCGGTTCCTTTTGCATCCGATCCACATGGATCCGGATCGGATCCGATCCAAGTTGAGAAATTGCCACCCCTACTTTCTAGTATATTGTTAATGAAAACTAGAAGAAGTTTGTTACGTCACCCCCAAATCTTGTGAATGTGTTTGAAAATGGGAGAATACTATGATGTATATCATATTGTTATCATATTTATTATACAGCTCGATCTTAAATTCTATTTAATCATCTTACTTTTCTTCAATTTACCATGCATCTAATTCACATTGTTTTAACATCTAAATCAATAATCAAATAATTTAATTATATAGTCAGACCATAAAAAGACAATTTCTTTGTTTAAAATTATATTCCAAAAGAAAACACAATTACAACAAAAAATTACCAATCAATTATGGATTTTCGTAAACAATTAAAAAAATTAAAACTTTTGTGTGCGGTGAGGCTAATTTTTTCTTGCAAAATTAGTTCTTCTACTTTTAAATTGCGTATCCAGTAGAAAAGGTATTCATTTGCATCTAGTGTTTATACAGCGGAAAAGTATTGCAATAAATATACGTATCCCTTTTCTTTGGAAATTTGTTGTGATATATTTTCTTCCCGTTGAAATTGCGGTTGAGATTTTTCAGGATTATTTGATACCATTTTTTTTTGGGTGTATTTTTGCACCTCATTGAAGCGAAGTATCAAAAAAAATAGTACTTTGATACCTCCGTTGGAAAGGAATTTTTGAGATTTGGAGTATCAAAATGGTAGTTTTACCATTTGATACTCCATTTAATCCCCCCGTTGGAGTTGCTCTAATTGAATAATTCTTATTCACAATAAAATATAAAGATAATAACATTGATTTTTTTTGTTGAATCCAATTATTTTCCAGTTCAACCAATATATGAACCGATTTCATTTTGACCAATATTTCGATCCTTTTCGACCTAATGTTTAGTCACTCCGAAATTCTTCACCAACACACGACAGCAAGACGACAAAATAAAGCTGCAAGTTAAAGAAACAGGAAAGAAGCCAAACTAAGCAGAGCCTAATTTACGACGTTAAGCTGGGACGAATAATCCGAGGAAAAGAAATGCAACAATTTGTCGCGTAAATGCGAATGAGACCGTGCGTTTCGTTATATGCTTCATTTATTACAGAAAACAAAATCAGCCGAAGGCCAATTCACACCTTATCACCCCATGTAATACAAAAACATGGTTTGTTTTTACTATGATACGATCATTATATTTGTCTGTTTCTTCGATTCATTACGAGGTTTTTCTTATGTTTTTATCTGTTTTAGATCATATAAGTTATTATTATTCTTTTTTAATCTTTAGACTTATTTCCGCTTTGAACCCTCGAAATAGAACATTTTGTCACTTTGCATCCTCAGAAAAATTTAATAGCATTTTGCACCCTAAAAAAAGAATAAACTATTCAAATTGCACCCTGAATATTTTCACAAATTAATAAAAGAATTAATCACTAAATTAATTTGATGACAAATTGTTTTCTCACAAAAAAAAAAAGATCTCATTATTTTTTTTATTGTTATTTCGTTTATTAATTTGTGAAAATATTTGTTAGACTCATTTTTATAATAAAAATTGGCTGAAGGATTTTTTTTAAAACTCGACACACATAATTAACATAAACATATTAAAAAAAAAAGTACCATGATTGATTATATCAATTTCTTTTTACTGATTCCAGTACAAGATCCACCTCTCAAATAATTTGGTAAGAAAATATTTGGAAATAATATTTTTTGGTGTATAAACAACTAATTTTCAAGTCACTTGGTGCGATTTTTTCTTAAAAAACCAGTATTGAGGAGGATAACTTATCCTCATTAAGTTATACAAAATCAATATGGGGATGCATTGTGAATGATTTATCTATTTTGAGGGTGCAAATTGTTATTAATTTTTTTAGAGGGTGCAAAAGACAACCTGGATAACATCAATTGGCTAGCACATAATGAATATCATCTAATTAATTAATTAAGTGAAGGTGGTTAAGTTTGATAATCATAAACAGTTAAGTTAGTGTCCAACTAACTGGATAAAAAGGACACAAAACTTGACAATGTAATCATCGATTCACTTTGTCTCTTTTGTAATAGGGACAAAGTTTTAACAAGAAAAAAACAAGCAAATGAAATGGAACATCTACTCGTATATAAAGTGATTTTGTCGGAGTAAATTTCATCGAAATTAAGTAGCCGTAAAATTAAATGGACGACAGTTGCACTAAATATGAGGCCGTTCCTGAAAAAAGCGTATTCTCCGTAGTCGAAACCGAGACGACGACTAAGTGTGTGAAGAGGAGGCGGAGATCTCCTCCTTTAGTTGCACTAATCTACAATGAAGAAAATAGTCAACATCCGTTCCATATTGGTCAAACTCCTCCAACTACTACTACTACTGCTACTACTACTGCAATGAAGAGGAGTTCAAGATTCCGAGGTGTTAGTAGGTCTGTCATTTTAATTTTTTTTTTTTTAAATTAAAATTAAAATATTCTTACAAATTGAAAAATATGAGAGATGCAGGAAAAAAAATTAGGCTCCATTTGGATTGAGGGATTTGGGGAATGGATTTGAAATGACTCCAATTTAGGAGTCATTTGAAATCCATCACTATTGCTCGAAAATCAACTAAAAAGGAGGGGTGGGGATTTGAAATCCATCTCCAAATCCCTCAATCCAAACAAGTCCGAGGGATTTGTTATTATGGATTTGAAATCCCTCCCCCAAATCCCTCCATCCAGATGCACCCTTATATTATTTTTTGTTCGTTTATTTTTCGTTTTATTACAGACATCGGTGGACAGGGCGTTACGAAGCTCATCTATGGGATAAAGGGACTTGGAATCCAACACAGAAAAAGAAAGGAAAACAAGGTAACATAATATATATTTAGAGAAAATTATAATTTTCACCCCTCAAGTTTGCACTGATTTTATATTTGATCCCTTATGTTTATAAAAACTACATTTGATCCCCATGTTTCAATAATTAAACATTTTCGGTCATTTTCATCAATTTACCGTTAGTTCGTTACTTAATGCAGTCATTGGCACACGTTTGATCCCGTTAGTACTAACAGAAACTTGACGGGAATGACTAAAAATGTTGAATTTTTGAAACATGAGGGATCAAATATGTTTTTTGTGAACATGGAGGACCAAATATGAAAACGGTGCAAACTTGAGGGATGAAAATTGTATTATTCCCATATATATATACAATTTTTTTTTTAACCTTTTCTGTTGAAAATATAACAATGCAATTAACTCATAAATTTCATTATTTGTTACACTGTTTCCATGTACTCAAATGCTAAATACGGCTTCTTTCGACAATGTGGCTGCATTTTCGGTTCGGTGTATGGAGTAGTGTATCTTGGTGAGTTATTTCCTTACACTTTTGTAATATACATAATATACATACATATAAAGTAAGAATAATTTGTAATAATTTTTTTGTAACCAAAATATTATTTGATTAGGAGCATATGATGAAGAAGAATCTGCAGCAAGAGCATATGATTTGGCTGCAATCAAGTATTGGGGAGCATCAACCTACACCAATTTCCCCGTACGATCGATTCTTCAATCACGAACGATTATCCGATATTTGTACTTATATCTCTTCTCTAAATTCATCTAGTATTTTTCCTGCCAGATATCCGATTATGACAGAGAGATCGAAATAATGCAAAACGTAACGAGGGAGGAATATTTGGCCTCTCTAAGAAGGTAACTCAAAAAAATAAATAAAATGACTTCAACTTTTCGTTCGACTAATAAACTAATTATCCGACTCGTTGGATCTTTTGACACAGGAGAAGCAGTGGTTTTGCAAGAGGTATATCGAAGTACAGAGGCGTCGCAAGGTAAATTAATCAAGCGAAATTTGTAGCTTAAATAATTACGCCCGACTTTTGCACTGATTTACGAACTCGTGTTTTATTAAGGCACCATCACAATGGAAGGTGGGAAGCGAGAATCGGCCGCGTTTTCGGCAATAAATATCTCTATCTAGGTACTTACGGTGAGTTATCAATCAATCAATCATACATCGATAATAAATATATCTCCTAAAAGTTTGTAAAAAATCTCGAAACTATCATGTTACACAAAACAGGCACACAAGAAGAAGCTGCACACGCTTACGACGTGGCGGCGATCGAGTACAGAGGAATCAATGCGGTGACTAACTTCGATCTGAGCACTTACATCAGATGGCTAAAGCCCGCATGCGGCGACAATTCAACGGGACTAATATCAGAAGACGCGGCGATTCCACAATCCGAATCGAACTACTTGAACCTCAACAAAGAACCCACGAATGCAAGTTCCTTCGCGATAAAAAATCCCGCGATTTGTGAGAAACGCGAAATAATCGAGAGGAAAATGCCTTTGGGGTGTTCCAACAAGGCGACTTCTCCAACGGCACTGGGGCTACTACTCCGTTCTTCATTGTTCAAACAACTCGTTGAGAAGACTACTACTACTACTACTGCTACTGCTTCCTCTTCTTCTTCTAGTGGTGATAATGAATAAAAAAATAACGAGAATGAAAATGTTGATGCGGAGGGAGAGAGATTGCACGAGAAGACGGCGTTTCGGAATTCCGTGCAATATACCGGCCGTGTGAAAATCCCATACATGGTGGTTTAGTCTTAGGTATATATGTATATTATGTTAATGTCCGGTTGCCGACGTAGCAAACGAAAACTGTGAAATGTAATAAGATCTTTTTGTTTGATGTTTAATGTGAGGTAAGGACGTAGATCTCTAAGTAGCTTCTTGAGAATCTCAGGTTGTGACGAGTGTATGATTTGTACTCCATTTCGTTACTTTTCGACATCGGTCGTTACCCTTTTTTTTTTTAGCTATATTTTTATTAGTATCTCATTAGGTAAAACATAGGTTAGTGGCTGAATAATTGACTGAAAAGTACAAGTCGGAAACCACCCAACGCCAGAAGAGAAGTTCGGTGACAACTTTTGACAGTGTTCACTATTTTGATCATACGATTTTATCTCAACTTGAAATGAGAAATTCAAACTCAAAGAGATATAACTTTAGAGCACCCGAGTACATTTGGTCACAAATGATTCTCAATCTAATAATAATTGACACGTCCTGATATTTCCTTTAGGGTGAACAAGCCTACGGAGGAACATTGGATAGTGGTGAAACGGATTCTACGATATCTGAAGCTCACAATATAGTCCGATGCTGATTGGGCGGGATGTCCAGATGATCGAAGTTCCACTTCCAGATTTTGCATTTATTTTGGGGATACTAACTAATTTGTTGGTTGGTTCTTATGTTACTTTCTCTGACTAATAAAAATTATTTGATTTCTTGATCTCGTAGATATTTATATGGGGTCATTAGCTATAGGTCCCTTAAACCACTAATAAATAGTATTAGACTCATCGCTAAAATTCCTTCCTTTGTGAGACCCCCAACACTTTTTATTCCGAAAATACCTAATAAATTCACAAAGTTCATATCGATCATGTATGACTATATATGTCCAGTTGGCAGACTCTAGCAAGATGAACATAATTCTTTCCTTCTTCGATCTTCGTTTTGTAAAACTCTTTTTTCTCTTTTTGTTGAAAATTTGTGCGGACAATGACACCTTTGGCAACCGCCGTCGGTCTACCATCGCCAACGTCGCGAGAGATTGAGAGAAGGGAGACCGGGGAATTAAGAAGAAAAAAAAATCTAAAAACATTTGTCTTCCAATCGTCAAAATTAATTATGAACACGAATTGGCACCATCGTCGATTACTCTGCTACCACACCCCACCATCACCGCCTTTGTATACAATCTGGAAGAAGGGGGGCGTCACCTCTGGTGTACAACCTGGAAGGAGGGCGGCAGCAGTGGTGAGAAGATAGAACGGTGTGGAAGTGGGGATGAGAAACGAGAAATATTTAGTTCAAAATATTTTCCATTCTAGAGGCCATGACATACTTTCCTTATTTATATTGGATTATTTGCATTGTATTGGGATTATGTTGAGGAATTAAATATTGGAAGAAAAACATTAAATTTACAAAACTTTTAATAACAAAAGAAAATTCCATTCCGATAATATTCATGGACGAGATCATTAACCAATAGCGTCGTCTACGACGATATTAATTTAATTGTACCATTGGCACCATACTAATACCGTCGAACATATATGTATTCAACATTCTTTGTTGAAGAGTTGAACATTCCGAAGCTCTTGATTTTCACAATATACATATAAGAACGGAGACATAGAACGAAGATAATAATAAACCGTAAAGTTTCATCATTTACTTGGTAAAAAGATAATAATAATCGAGCAGATTAAATCACATAGTGAAACACTACTCTCCGAACTCACTAAAAAGACTAGCAGCCAAAAATTCCTGCACTCCAATCTTTTGATGCAGTAACAGAGTTGCAACGGGCATTCTATCTATGTATATATGCAAAATATATAAACAGAAAAAGCAGACGCAACGCGCTTCAAGTAATGTACCTCATCGAGGTTTTGTTCAGCTTATCAGAACAGCCTGCGCGTTTCCATCTGTCAATAACTTGTTTGTAAATAGAGCAGAATCCGCAATCTCTTTCAGACCCTGTCGACAAATCATGTTAAAATTCACGAAAAATGTACTAAATAAGAGGGATTTATTTTTTTAAATCAGATGTTGTTGAGCAAAAATAATGACAGCATAAATAGATCAAGTACCAATAGACTTGGAACTGCATTTCCAGAAATTTTAAGTTGATCCTGCAAAAAACGAGTCGAAAAAATAGGTAAAATGAAATAATAAAACAAAAGAAAAAGGGAACCTAGTAATCACTTTGGGAAAGTAAGGGAGGGGCAGGATTGAACCCTATTTAAAATTCATATACTTATTTTCATGAAAAAATTGCAAAAACGAGAAAACAAACGATTCCAGACCTGAAGAACTTCTGGCATTTTCGTCTTTGTTCCGTTCACAACGCTACACAGATACATTACCCCAGCGTTTGCAAGCTCCTACAACACAATATGATTCAATTAACAGTCAACATATTAACGTCGCATCGACCCATAACAGATAATCACTTTGCTTTGAGATATACATCACTAAAGTATAGCAAAGTTGAAAAAAATAAATCATAGTGTCCTTATTAAGTATAACAAATATTTCAATTTAGAAATAAATATATCACCTGTTTGCTTTCTAGAGAGTGTAGCTTGAGATCCTGCATTCACAGATATACAATTAGATGGGAAAGGAAAATAATGAAGCACACAAAATGCTGCATGTTGGACGAAACGACGCAAAAAAGAAACAGCCAAAAACAGGTAAAACAAATGCTATAAAAATGTTCTTCTAAATCGGGCTCGTGGCCCAGTAAGTAGAGAAATTGTGGGCCTATTAGGTTGGCCCAATTAGCTTATCGTTTTTACAATACGCGTAACAATTATGATAATATGAATTAATATAATGGATAGCTAGTTATATACAATAAGACCAGCCAACAAAAAATTAGAAGATACATATAAATTAATTGAACTTTGTTTGTAATGAAGAACTTCATCTGCCGCATCCGACGACAATGTATAAACTACGGTTGCCAAAAGTTAATATACTAGTGCAACTTATTGCTGACATAAGTTACCTGATCCCGAGAACAATTAAATAGGTAAAACAACTATGTTTTCAATGATTAGTTTTCATTTTTAGGCGTCGAACTCACGCTATCAAAATCAGGAACAGCATTGATTTTCGATGATAATTTGGTCACAACATAGTCATGTGACAAACTTAAATCAGCAAATAATCAGAGATTTAACGAAGAATTATACAAAATCGAAAACCAACCAGGCCAGCAACCATCCTATGCAATTCATCCAAATCAAATCCAATATGAGAGAGGTCGTCCCGTACATCAACAACCTGTTTCACAAGTTAAAAATCCGGAAATTATTACACTGAATAACGGTCCAAAACGTAATTTCGAAGCCTTCCATAACAAGAAACCAGCACAAACTGGTTCTACAAATTGCTAGCTAAAAACGAGAGCCACAATTATACTTAACGGAGCCAACCATACTGGCAGCCAATGAAACCACACACACACACACACAAAAAAACAAAAGCCAGTAAGTACTTATTCCTTTTAATGTACCTCATTCCTAATTAATTTGGAAATCTCTACTTGCTCATCAAGTTTCCCGTCCAAGTTCTCGATTCTCTGAGTTAAGTGCCTTTTTGTTGCCTGATTAGAAAAACGATTTAAAAATGAAGCTTCACAGAAATCTCATATATGCTAAAAGACAGTTACATCACAGAGGTTGCAACAAATATACGATTTGAAATGTCATGAGAAACAACGGCAACAATATGAGGCAACATTGAAACTATAGAAACTACTAAAACAAATCGAAATACGGGGAATCAAATTGCACAAAATAAAATATTACTTACAGCAAGAGCCTTAGACACATTATCCAAATGTTTTGTCAAGTTTGAAACAGCGTTTGCCATGCTGCTTTTTGTTACGAACATCACGTCTGAGAACGAAATACCCTAACGATTTAAAAACAGAATTAAAGAGATCAGAACAACAGAAACATAAATTAGTTCCCTACGTAAGGCGTATTGACAGAATTTAAATCGGAACGATTTTACAACCTTCCACCACATGTATCCGTAACCCAAGGCTCCAACAGCAGCAGCTGGCACTATTAGAGATGCTAAGTTACCTGTGACAGATACAAGAGGAGAGAATATCTTAGACGGCTATATACACCGTGATATTTTCTGACATAAACACGAGATACTGACTTTCGCCATTCCCATTTAGAACAGTAATCTGCTTCGATGAGGCCAGCTGGCGAACCTCCATGGCTAACCGGCGAATCTGTAAAAGAACAAACCAGATCAAATCTGTACTGCAAAAGTTTTCTTTACTGAATCACAGGCAACAAACTCATGTGCATAAACTCCCTTTTTCAGCCAACAAAATCCAAAGCATAAACTCCCTTTTTAATAGTCAAAATTCAAGAAAACGTACTCAGAGATAGAAGATTTAATGAGAGAAACACCTCTTATTTGCAAATAATATTATTTCTAACAAATTTTAATCAGATTCAAGTATTTAATCAGTGATAAATGATAAGAATTGAGATCCTTTGTCGTTCCAGTCAAACATGATAATGATTAGATAGAACGAGTAAATAATACGATGAAAAATGCCAGTAGATTAAAGAACTATGTCTCAATAATATTAAGATAGATACCTGGGTGGCAATGGCATCAGAATCTCCATCAGACTCGCCGCCTTTAGCTAGATTCTGCCAAATACAAGAAGCCCAATAAACACAGATTTCATAATCACGTACACAGAATAAAAAAAAAAAATATATATATATATATATACACCACATTATAAGAAATTGCTGCTTTAGGAACTTCAATTCGACAAGGATTTTTAAATTAGCACACTGGAAAAAGCACGATAACTTTAAAATCATTTAAAAATTTATTAAAAGTTAATGTCATTGTTATTTATTAACATCGAATATCCTCCCAAAACAAGAAAACACTCGGAGGAAAAAAATTATATTAAAGTGCACAAAATTACACTTCTTATTTAACACTAAAATCACAATAAACAGTTAACCTAATATGCCCAAAACTTCACAACATGGCTACTAATGCTCCTATCGTAAAATTCTAATGGCTAGTTTGGTTGCCAAAATAAGATTAAATAATTTAATAAAACCCCAATTATTTTATCAGTCCAAGAAAAAAGCTCCTTAAGAGGCAAGATAAAACGCAATAAGCCATGCTAACATAATATTTACGCAAATAATTGGGGATACCAAACATGAAACAAAGTCCAATTATTTAGTTAATAAAAGTTAATATCCCCAACCAAACGAGGCCTAAATAGAACTGACCTAAAAATCCAGGCGAAAGTGAATTTAGAAAGAAATATGGAGGAGCTGGGAAAATTGATTAAGTACCTGAATTTCACCTAATACATCTGATAATTTACCATTCTTCAGAAGAATAGTTCCCGTATAACCTAATCCACATCAAAACCACAGCAAATTTTTACCTCTTCTCAGGGGGGGGTTTTTTTAAAAAAAAAAAAAAAAAAAAAAACGCACACACATATATATACACAAAGAGAAATACCTGCTCCGACTATGAATACGATCCTGGATAATCCCATTCCAGCTTGCATGGCCATGGCGTATGATCAGTAAAAAGTGAAGCCCTAACGGTTTTTCTCTCTCTAGTATCAGAGAAGACGTGAGCTTTTGCACTTTGAATTTTTAATCCCCAAATTTTTGCTTCGAATACTAAAACTTGCAGGAGCGATAATCGATACGACGTCGTATGATAAAGCGGTATGTTTTGGGCTATATTAGTTCCTATGTTTTGGGCCTGAACACTGCGGAAACGCGAATGACTATGGATGAAAGAAAATCTACAAAATTTTTTTTGGGATAAATAAGTGGGTATATACGCTGTATCCATTCTACTATGTTCTATGTAACACTAACACACTCGTATTTTAAAAAATAAATTTACCCACTCGTACTTTAAAAGATACACTTACCCTCTTAACCTTACGGTCAACCATATGTAATTGGAATAAATTGAATAGATTTCGAAAAAGAAAATCATATGTAATTTGCAGTATTCTAAAAATCAGTCAATGTGGTCGATTAATCGGTCTCGAGGTGGACGCGGTCTAAAATCTTTACGATTTGAGTATAAAGGTTTGAAAAAACGGTTTTTGCCTGTGAGGCGGTTTTAGACAGTCTAAGACGGGTTGAGTCGGTCAAACTTTGGTGGCAAAAATTGATCATAAATCGGTTTTTTTTCTTTTCTTTTTTTTCTTCTAATAAAAAAGGTTTGGCTTTTAATAAAAAATAAGTTTATGCTTTGTTTTATTATGTTAGTGTTAATGTTCAAGTATAATTTTGGATGCACAAGATTTTCTTTTTATTTGTATTTTGTAAGGATTTTTATTATATTATGTTGTAATTATTATTAAAAATTTATTATGTGATTATGATATATAAATTATGGGTATAAAATCATGTTTAAATATATTTTTATTTATATTTTGAGTATTTGCCAATAATATCTAAAATTATATTACATTAAATTTAAAAAACAGATTTATTTCCAATTTATTACCGATTAATCACCACCGCACTGGTTAATCGTGAGACGGTGCCTAACTAAATTGGGTCCGATTCCCACCTTTTACCACCTTGGTAATTTCCTATAAATAACTTGTAAGTATTTTGAAAATTAGAGCTTGGAATTGAAAAATTATTGTAAAATGAATTGTTATTCAAACAATCTTGATAATTCATATTGGCTTCATTCCACTTTGCACCCTTGAAATATAGTAGTTTGACACTTTGCACCCTTGAAAAAAAATTAATAGCACTTTGCATTCGAAACACAATAAATTATTAACAATGCATCATGAATTGAATATTTAAAACTTAATGAAGGTAATTTCAAGTTTTATTAGTTTTTTTTTTCATTTCTAGGGTGCAAAATAACTAATTAAATCATTATTTTCTTCTACATCCACCATAATTTCGGCCATACAAAATGTGAAAGAAAAAAAAATAACAATGACTTACTGAAAAAACATTATTTTGTTACTTAAAAATAAACTTTTCTCACTAACTATTCTATTGACAGATCTTTTTATTGTAATTAGTGAAAATATTTGATAGAAATTATTGGAATAAACATAATTTCCAAATAACTTTACAACAACATAGCCGAAGAACATTTTTGTTCTTTTTATTTTTTATAAACTATATTTTTGCGATTTTTTAAAAATGTGTAGATGAGAAGTATTTTTATTTTTGCACCATGTTTTTTCAAAAGGATTGATACATATAAAAATGATTTGACATTTGATATTCTAAAAAAATACCACTAAAAATATTAAATTATATTTATTAGTTTTAAAAATTCAACCGAGGTACATTATGCATGATTTATATTGTGTTTCGAGGGTGCAAAATCTTATTAATTTTTTTTTTTTTTTTGAGAGTGCAAAGCGTCAAAAATCTATATTTTAAGGGTGCAAATTGAGATTAAACCATTTAATATTATATATTTAAAATCTCTCACAACTCTTAATATTATAACATTTCATGATGAACAAAGTTTAACATAAATTGGAAGTAAATGACATCTCTTAAATCTTAACTTGATTTGAAGTGCTTCATTATTTTTTCTTAACATATTGTCATAGTCATATGGTTAAGTAACCCTACAACTTGTTTATAACTCTCTAAATGCTTAAACTCTAATATAAAATAAACTTGTGGTGGCGGGATAGAAATAAAGTTAATTTTGATCAAACAATCATAAATGACTTCTTGAAAATTCTTAAATATGGTTTTCCTAAACAATCCCCTATTTTACAGATTTTTCTTAAAATTTGCATTGGGGATAATTATTTAATAAAAAATCAATATATCCTAGGTGGCACTCTAAGTATTAAGATTAAGTTTATTATTGCAAATGCTCTAAGCAATTTAGTGCCAACTAAATAGTTGGAACTTTTTTTTTTTTGAGTAAATTCAAGTCCATTACAAGAAGAAATAGGAGAGGGGGGACTCGAACCCTAAACATTTATCCTATAGGTAAAGACTAACAATTCTTCTAATGAGGATTGGTAATAATGTAGAAATTTGACATAAGCATTTTGATACATGTCATATTGAGATTGCAGACCCTTCTTTTATATTATATATAGATGGATGAAACTCGATCAAATATTGATGACTAAATGTATGTATTTTGTTACCCAAACACATTCTAATTTTTTTTTTTCATTTTTTCTCTTTAAAATGTTTTTGATTTCCCACTATTTGCCACCATTCATATGTGTTGTATAAACTCTATTCTTGTGCAATTCCACAGAAAAGATATAACTTTGATAAGTTAATATTCGATAAATTAGTAATCTCACTTAAATTAATAGAATTTTATTAATCCCGACTATATTAATTTATAGAAGTTTAACTATAGTTCCACCGATCGGTTGATGCATGTTATTTATTAGACGCGTATGTCACTTCTTCCTACTCCATTATCACTCTTTAGCAAATATTAATTTCCATCACCACCTTTTATTTGTTATTTTTAAAACAATAAATGTTTTATCATAAAAGCCAGTGGCGAAATACTTGAGCATTATTCACTCTATCAATAGGCAATAAATAAAAATGAAGATATACAGCATATCTGAAATTAATATCCAACCAAAGTATATTAAATTTGTGTATTGTTTCATTCGACTCCATTAAGAGTAATACATCTAAAAGAAACGCGTGACATTAGATCTTGTGGTAGTATCTGAAAACAGTAAAAGCTACTATATAAAGTTTGTTGATTGGTCACACCATTTTATTTAATTTGTTACTTGATAATTGTACCAAAATTTTCCCCAATTAATATGAACAACTTAATTTATGCACCTACTTCATGTGATGTAGTGGTACGCTCGCAGGTTTGCAATAATTTTATTAATAAAAGTAAGGTTGCTCATGGTAAATTTTAGGAATTTTAATAAAAGTAAGGTTATTCGTGGTAAATTCTAGAAAAAAAATTCCGTTCATTTGATAGTTATAATTTTCATTAATTTATTTATTTATTTAATTTTATTGTTTTATTATATTTAATATAATCAACTTTAATTAATTCGTTAAGTATCCAAACTTTTTGGCCATAAATCTACGTATTTTTTCCCACTAAAATTGTCATTTTACTTAATATTAATTTTGTGGGAAAATTATTTAATTGTTTAGAAAAAATCATTTGGTTCTTATCTTATTAATAAAAGTAAAGTTGTTTTGATAAATTCTTGAGATTTAATGGCATCATTGATTTACAGTAAATTTACTGAGGCCTGTTATTGGTGATAGAGAAGAAGATTCGTCAAACTTTTACATTAACTGAGATAAGATAAATATACAACCATATATTACGTCAAAAAACATAAAATTAAATTAATAAATATGGCAAAAAAAATTATGAATATGGAAGTATCATCAATGCATAT